TGAAGAAACAGCTGATTTCGATAAATCTCCTGAGCTAACATTGCCGTACACACATCAAATATCAGCCTTTGATCCTCTTTTTATAGAAGGTTTGTTTAGTTCCTTCTCATTTTACTAAGTAATTTTACCTTCCTTTGGTTGTTGTGTACCATTTCATGATTACGCAAACTATCTGAGTCTTATGAGGTGTGTTCACCCTATTTCGTTTAAGGTGATGAAGGACTGGTAGTAGAATTTACCCAAAATGATATGAGTAGAGCTGACGTTTCCATTCAATTTCACATTGCCTTGCTTTCCCAAAAGTTTTTCTCATCCAGGCACCAATGGACTGCAGCTTCGACCTTCATCACCTTAAACGAAATAGGATGAATACATCTCATATTACTGATTTACTGGTAGTCTCAAAACTCTACTCAAACTGACTCTTGTCCTCTCATAGCAACAGCCGTATTTCCTATTGCAATACCCCCTCGGGGCTTAGCATCTGAAATCCAGTGACCTTCCACCAAAGTAGATATTCTCAAATACACCCTTACAGGTTTGTGCATATTTTCATTCATTTTTACATTCAAGTGTCTATAGAATGTTCGTAGATTTGGACAAATTACGCAAAATGCGGGGCGAAAACAGAAGAGAGCTTCTTCTAGTGTTTTAGATTATGTGAATTGACCGCTGTCTCAGCATTCACATACATATTTATTCTGAGCGCATGTTGTGCAATAGCCAAAAAATTTGGTCCTACACACTCACCATGTCGAGCACTTTGTCCCCAACGGTGTTCGTAGACTCCCAGGTCTGCAACTTGTTCAGAAAGCTGATATGGTAGACCATCAGCTCGTGGATTTTGTAGAAGATGGTGTCCACTTGGGGTTCCTCGAGAATTCTCTCCTGTTTCAACGGCACCATAAAGGACTGCCAGCAGCATGACGAAAAAGAATGGCATAAAAGAAAGATGTGAGAGCGAGCAATTGGGAAGTAAATTAGTATTCGTTTATTATTACAAGTGTTGACACAATTTCAGCATTCATTTCCTGCAAGAAAATCACATTAAATGAACGCATGTAAAATAAAAAATATTACAAGGAATTTTGTACGCGACAGTCCTTGGAGCATTGTCATCGGTTAGATCAAACAAAATGCTCCAGAGTCGTGTAAAGACCTCTTTGGAGCGGGGCCAAGCATGGCTGAGTTCAGCAAAGTGCACTGGAAATACGTATTCATTCAGCGCCCTTGAAGTTAGTACTTTACAACTGATGCAGTCGATGCCGCCACAATTGTCCATAGGGATCGGAAGGAAAGTAGCTCCGAATGCATAGGAGCATAAGGGATTTATAAGATTGCACCACGACATGGTTTCTGTACCACATTTTAGTAAGTTGTTCACGAAGTGAGGAATCAAGCGATTTTCGGGGGAAAAAATTTCACTTAAGCCCAACTAATTATGAAAGCTCATCTCCCATTTTCCCATTGCTCTTAATCATTTTGAAAAGATGCCTCTAATTTCGAGAAGTGGATAGGGTCCAATCTTTTGTACCCTTCATGCAAAACCCTTCCTAAACTTCGGATAGACGCATATACAGAAAACAGAAATGAGGACTTCTTTCATTTTAGGTCATTCCAGTGAAAAGATGTAAAATAATTGGGCATTACCCAATGACAAGTGGAAAATTCCTCAATAATCCGTCCCAACTCAACCCAGGCAAGGCTCCCCAATCTTTCTTATTCAAGCTGGACTTCAGTGTCGATCTTGCCACGGTTGCATCAGCATCCTCTAGAGGACATGAAACCCCATTGCATGAGAAAAACGGCAACATGTCGTCACTTTGGCATACAAGCCAATTGTGTCAGAGGCTCACGGGGGTAGATAAGAATTCGAGGCAACCCAGGTAACTATCGAAATATATTTATATTTTGACTAATTAGTTTGCATGTCGTAATTTCGCTCATTTAAATGGAAGATAATAAATGGCATTATCGTCTCTGTCGCGGTCGAACGAGTGGTACTGTCCGGCTATTCAATGAACTTGGCCCAGCAACAGGTTACTTATTAACTCAGTTAAGGCTGAACCTGCCATCCAGTCGGAATGAGGAGGCCTTTGTGAGTCAGTGCTAGGTTACATTGACCAGAATCTTGGGGTCTTTTACTCACTTCATGATGCAAAACATGACCACCTATGAAACGTAGCGTATAAAATGCCTATTCATTTTACCTAAACACAGTTGCAGAAGATCTTGAACCCGGCCAATGGTAAACGTAGAGCATCCGGGTGCATTCGCTAATGAAACTGTCTAAAAACTACACAAATACATGCAGGTTGCAATTAATAGTGCGAAATTCTATTTAACACGAAGCATAGATTGAAAATAGGCCATAGGTAATTCGAGCCAAAATGCAGTTAGTATTGGTCGAGGTAAGAGGGTATAAGAAAATAAGAAGAATTAAATTTCGTTAGATTGTAGCTCTTTATACACGTACTGATGCTTGTCACACTCTTGGGTTT